CACCCTAATCCTTTCAAATTTCTAAGCCCCTCTATATGAACTTTATACTAAATAAGCCTTACTAGAGCTAACATTTACGTAGGCCAAAAAAAAAAAGTTGGAACTGAAATTGCTTAATATCCCCCGTCCCCTAGTTTTGTCTTTCTATACCAATACTATATTTACTCTCGCTTTTAAAAAAAACTTCATGCAAAAAAAAAATTGGAAAAAGAAAGCAAATTCTATAAGATTTGGCAATTCAAATTAATTTTATTTCCTTAAACACCCTCCCTCTAACCAAAAAAGGAAGATAATAAATTCAAATATATTAAAATGGCTAATCTAATAGTTGTTGAATGCTATTGTCTCTCTTTGCCACATTTTAGCCTTCATACGCCAATCTATAATTATTCTGACAATTATGTAAGCAAAATAAAATCTAGTAAAACTAAAAATTAGAACAAATACTATTCTATCAAGTATTATTGCACTTAACACTCTCTACCAACCTTTTTTAGTTCTTCCTTGCAAATATATGTTAGAAATCAATTTGGTAAAAATTCAAGATAGGACAATAGAAAAGGATAAAGTTGGGACAAATATAATCTCTCTCTTTAAATGATTATTTTATTTATTTTTATCATGTTGGAATGGGTTTGTTACAAAAAAAAAAATATGATTTTGGTGGAGGTCAATGATATTTTTAAAACTTCAAAAAGAGTAATTGATATTAGGCAAAAAATCAAGAGAGGTTTCCAAATTATTCCTATTTATGTAGCTAAAATTTGTACATCTAACGATGTCGGCAGTGGTATAAAGTTGCCCGACCCCTAAAACTATTTGTGGATTCCATTTACTTGTTCTTCAACAGGTATAATTAGCAACATAAAAAATAAAAAATAAAAAATAAAAATAAAAAAGGATGTCTTCTTTAACTTGCAAGAGATTAAATCGAGGAATAATTTCGAAAATCTTCCTTAAATTGTTTTGACAATTTCGAGAAACTCTCTTCTAATTTTTATTACAATACATGCCTCCCTTTAATGTGCAAAAGTACTCCTATGGCCCCATTTTATTTGCACACATATTTCCCACAAAAGGAAATGAATATCGTCAATTTTATGCGACTTTTTCCTTAAATCTCGCGACCAAATTGTCAAAATTTTTCCCTATTTCTCTTTCCTCTTTTCCCTTACCCAACACCCCCCTTGAAAATATTGTCAGTATTTTCTATCTTTCCCACTCCCTTCCCACTGCTTGTGGCCCTTTGCCTTCATCCCTCCCCTCCATCTTCCTTAATATACTCAAGTAATTTGGTTTTTCTTTTCCTTTGGGCTGATAGAATTGGATGCACTTGTCTTATCTGTATATACTTTAGTCGCATAATCATTGTTACTCTGTTAATCGTTCTTTCGGGTTATATAGGCTATAATTATTTGTATTATCGAGTCGTGTTGAAGGGTCTATGGATCAAAGCCTGCTAATTATACCAAATTTCAAGCTATATAAATATGTGATATGAGTAGCTTGTTTTTTAAGGCTTTTTGCCTTAGCTGATGTTGAATATGGGGAGCATTTGACCGTTTGAAACGGGCATAGAGATGAAATTTTAAATGATATGAACAGACAATTGACCCATGGCGGACCACATATTCTGCTTGTAGCCAAATACACTATTTGTTAAGGTCAGTGTGACTCCAAACTCAGTGGTCCTTGCCTTCGATCATTTCCAACTTCCATTATTCTCAGTTGTCATCTTTCATAATTGAAAATATTATATAGATGTCGTGCTATATATGTCTCCATTAAATGCACTGAAGGCCTTCTTCAAAGTCTCAACTTGAGCAATAGTCACGATGTTTGGTCGTTTAACAGTACAAGGCAAATTGATTTCTTGAAATTTCTGTTTGCCAGTACACACTTGTTGCCTTATTGGCAATTTGGCATATAAAACAAGCTTAATAATTAAAGAAACAAAAGACGTGTCGAGTTTTGCATCCCTGTCATAAATGGAGATAATGAGGACAAAACATAAAAATACCTATTTGTAAAATTCAAGATTCAACAGTTTCTCCAGAAACCACTAAATTATATTCAGTACATTTCCCTTTCATCCCTTGCATCCAACAGTTTCTATCCCTTGCATCCCTGTCATAAACGGAGAGAAAATGTGATTAGTACAGTTGATTTGATTGATTAATTAAGAGAGAAAAGTTTTGAGGGCAATTTTTTTTTACCACAGTGCATTAGTATCTTTGATTGGGAAATATATATATATATCCCATTTTTCTTTTAATATAGCTTATTTTTTTTATCTTCATGGCACAATAAATTGGTAGTGCGAGCGAAAAATCCAATGCAAAGATGGCTAGTCTGAGAAAAGAATATGCTAATATGCATTTGCAATTTTAAATGTTCATTCACAGTTTACCCCTCGAAAGAGGTGGTACTCTCATTTTACCCCCCAAATATAATTGATGTTGTCCTCTTTTATACTCTGAAAGCACGTAATTTTTTTGTTCCGATTTTTCCAACAACAACCAGCAGCCCTTACTTCTTCCAATGATTTGCTGAAGATACCCTAAGACCAGGACCTAATTTTGAGTAATACGGCAGTTTTACCCTAATTTCTATAGATGCCTCTCCTTAATCGATCCTATTTCCTTTTTCTTTTGTTATTTCTTTGCACCTTGTAGAACCTGAGTAGTATTTTTGGTCATGCATCACTGAAACATTGTCAGTTTCGTTATCAAATCAATTCTTTTAGTGCAGGGGTTCGTAAATTAGTTAACATCCAATCTTAAATTAGATATTATACTTCTTTAGTTCAAGGGGCAAAATGTGATCACTGACCCCACTTTAGGGGAGCAAAAATGTTATTAACCCTTATTAAAACTAGTAATAAAAGTCACAGGTTGAGACAGAGCAAGTTAAAATGTTTAAATTCTTCTATGACTTCTTTTATACAAATACAAAATGTGCCTACTGAAAAAAAAAAAGAGTATGAATTTGCCACTTTTGTGCGAAATTTGAGTAGCTTTGTAAATATATTATTGATTGCACTGAGTGGTCACGCAATTTGTGTTGTACACATAGATGTATACAGCAAGTGCACAAATAATTTTGATACCTGTCTACGTATTTCTGGTGTTTACAATAAAAGTAGCAGGCAAGTTTGAAACTTCCACTTCACTGCTCCTCCCAATCAATCGCAATCCCATATTAAAACAGGTAGTACTAGTAATGTACGGCCATTCATGAATTATGACCGTAGGCCATGGGCCGTGTCCTATCCACATGGCTGACTGTCTACCGGTAAGACATGTATACAAAATCGATTTTAATAAATGCCACTAAAATTACGGGCGTACATCTTGATTCGATAATTCATATAGTCTGGTGATCCGATTCGGATCTTATCTGAATTTGCAAATCTTCGATCCATCCAATCATACGTGGATAAAATCGCATTCAAATCAAAAGGTTATGCAGATCGGATTTGGATATCACTTTTTACGATCAAAGTAATATTTGATCTGATCTACATAGCACTTTTCTATTTTTTTTTTCAAAATTGTTCACGCATTAAAAATCCACTAATTTATAATAGTCTTATCTCTTATTTCTTATCTTTATGTATACATTCTCTTTCAAAATATGTTTTCTTCATATATGATGTTAGGTTTTAAATATAATGTCATATAATTTGTGGATAAAAAAAATTGTAAATGAAGTATTGAATCTTGTAGGTTTGAATTATAGTAAAAGAAAAGAATGGTGAGAGTTAGTCCAAGTATCACTTATAATTTGGATTAAAAACTCATATGTTAATAAAGCATATCACATTTAAATTTTCATTTTATCTTTGGGATTTATATTTTCTTAAAAGAATTTTTTTTTAAAATCAGATACCGATTAGATCACTACAAGAAATATATTTTTCAGTGACAAAAATTTATGTGACAACAAAAATCTTGTCACAGATAACCTAATTCAGTGACGACATTAGGTGTCATCACAGATGAGTACAGCACAAGCATAATCAGTGACAACATTGGAAGTTGTCATTCTCAACTCGTCACGAAATAGTTGGCGCGCATCTCATTTGATGCCGCGGGAAATGAATTTATGACAACTCAAGTAGAGTCGTCACAAACGCTCTCTCTACAGTGACAACATAACTTGTTGTCATTGAAAGTCTACCCGATTCCAATTTTGTGACAACTTTTTGCATCACTGTATACTACAGTATTTTCATCAACTTTCACTAATTCTACTATGACACCCTAATTTTATTTTTTAGCCCCCAATTCTTTTATATTAGCAAAATCACCGAAGATATGACACCCTAATTTTATAATTTAGCCCATATTCATTACGTATTAGCAAAATGCAAATGATATAATAACAAACTATTTTTAGATATTTGTAATTTTTGCTAAGTTGACATAATAGACATGTCTGAGCATAAAAATGTTTTCACGAATTGTTTATTATTCCTTATAACAACCCCCAAAAATCAATAACTGAAATAATTTGAAAAAGTGTAATTGAATATAATTTGTAGTCTAATGTTAGCACTGTGAAAGATTAGGATAACGTGTAATACATCATAAGTAATAATTATTTTCATATGGAATGGGTATATACGAAATTAAAATTATTCAGTAAAATATCTGTCGTGCAATAAGATTGAGAGTTGTAACACATTTCAAATTAGCCGCTGAAGTCCGAGCTATCCAACACCATAATTTATTCTTCAGCATTTCCTTCACCACTGACGATAGCCCTTTCTCCCCTCTATTGACCCGCAACCGTGTCGAGCTCTTTAGCACCAGCTCAGGTGAAGGAAAATAGAGGAGGGCTTTGGCAGTAGAACAAAACAGAGGGAAAAGAACAAAACAAGAAAAAAAGAACAAAATAGAGGAGAAAAAAAGGGCGGCGCACAAGTGAGCAAGAAAAGCTGAGGGGGAAGCCTGAGAAAGGGCGGCTAGGTTTTAGAGGAGAAAAAGAGAAACAGAAGAGCAGAGAAGCAGCTAGGGTTCTTGGAAGGGAGGCCTTGAGCGTGAAAAGAAAAAAAACAGAGTGAAGGAAGAGTGGCGGCTGACGGGAAGATCAGGAGAGAAAGACGCGGCAACGGACAGAGGAGGAAGAACCAGGTCACCACCAGTCCGCGTCCGCTCTGCTGCTGTCTGCTATCGCCAACACCGCGCACAACCTCCTGGGCTGCTGCCGTTCTCTGTAACACTAGATGAAGGCTCTCGGACGAAATCAGACCTAGTCATCTTCCAATTCCAACTCACCGTCTTCGGCTTCGTCATAATCGCCGTCGCCACCGCTCAAGTAAGAGCACTATAAGTCGCCCCTTTTTCTTTGAATTTCAGTTCCTTCCCAAGTCCTCTAAGCATGTCTGCCATGGCTTCGTTTATTGCAATTGCCCCGTTGATTGTTCAAATTTTAGCATGCGCATGTTATATCATGATTGAATTTGAAATCCCTTGTACTTCTGATGATTTTGGGGCCAACCGTGGCTTCATTTGAGCAAAGAATTGCTGGAATTTTTCATGTTCGTTTACTGTTTGTTGAAATGCCTAAGTGGTCTAACAGCAGGCCGTAACAGGGCATTCGTTCAATGCTCATTGCTGCATTTTATCTTTCCCTATCCCTGTCTCAAGTTTTGGTTGATGAACTTGTAAATCTGATTAGCATATCAGGACTGCCTCTGAATTTCATAGCTTTCTTTCTAATAACTACACATTGTGAGATTTTTTTTTCCCCGAAGGGTATGACATGCTCTGCCCTACAAAATGGGAGAAAGTATCACAAGTACTGCTGCATGCATATCTGCAGCCTTTGATGTGAACTATTACTTCTAGAAACAGGATTAGGACATGCCCAAATCCTGAAACTCTACCAATTTTTAGCAATTCATTTGCACACTGTAGTTCTTGAGTTTACATGCTTGATTCTAGAATATAGCATCAACAGCACAGGTGAGCCATAATGAAGAGATGAGATTCTTTGATAGGCACTATTAAAGGGAACAACTTTGTCTCTTTTTACAAAAGAATTGTTGCTTCATGGAAGAGTGGTTCATTGTATTAGTTAAACATATACCATTTTTTTCAGTCATGTCCCAAGCATTTGACTTCTGAATTTTAACCTGCCATTTGTTGGACAATATGATGAAAGTGTCACCTCTGCTTTGTAGCATAAAAACCAGGTGGTGAATGAGGAGCTATGGAACGAGGCGAAAACTTATGGTGACATCCAACTGATGCCATTTGTTGACTACTATAGCCTTATCACATGGAAGACTTTAGCTATATGCGTATTTGGGGTAATGTCCTGTCTCTTTAAAGCTCATGGAAAGTTTCGAGTGCCTCTTTGACTTAAATCTTTTGAACAGACACAGGTTGTTTCAGCAAAATTTGTCATGAAGACAGACGATGATGCATTTGTTCGGGTGGATGAAATTTTGGCCTCCTTGAATAGGATTAATGTGAGCCGTGGTTTGCTTTATGGGCTCATTAATTCTGATTCACATCCTCATCGAAGTCCTGATAGCAAGTGGTACATTAGTCCTGAAGTAAGTTTGTCCTGAATGCATCTCATTCTGTGGTTAGTTTATTGTTAGGGCCTAATCCTTTTATCACTGAAAATCTATATCTGAGATTAGATATGCACATAATACTTTCTCATTCTGAAGTGAACATGTTCTTGTTAATAGAGATTAAGGAGTTTTGATGTGCACATAATATCCAATGTAAACTAGAAAGTTCTCTTAGAACTCTTGAACGTGGTTCAGTTGTACTCCACCACATTGGAGCTTTCTTGAAACAAAAAATATGGCGGATTGGGCTAAATGAATATATGCATTTGCTTAGTTGATCCTTTCTTTTGGTGGCGTTTTTGGTGTTTTGTGTGTTTTGGGGGGGGGGGCAATGTAGATTTACATAGTAAAGCAAAGCCTATACTAGATACAAGTAGATCAGCAAAAACACTTCTGGGACAGGTCCCATTCCAGAGCTAATTTCCAAGGTTACTGTGTTAGTGGAATCTTCCACCAAGCTACTACCACATGTTGTATCTCATCCACAATTAATGGACCTCATAATACTGACAGCTGAAGTTGCCTAAGCTCTGAAGAAAATCTTTCAATAAATAATAAACTTTGCACCCCTAAATCAATTGTCATTCCATTTTTTAAGTGATCCACCCTAAAAAAAAAGTTGGTTTTTTAGCTTCCTGTTTCATCTGTGATCAAGAATAGTTAAAAGTTTGAGGTTCGGACATGCTCTTCATGAAAATGCATAATAATAATCACAACAATGTTGTTTGATTTATACTTTGGGTAACTTTCGAGATTTTATAGTTGTACAAAGTTTAATAGTGCCTTTATCAAGCTACGCTTTTATTCTTGGTCCACAAGAAAGATTCAATAGAGAAATAGATTAGTTGTATACTTTCGTAGTACGCAATTAACTGTCAATGGTTTGTTCTTGCTTACTATTCAATATATATAATTTCACTCTATTTTTGTGTTAAGCAATTTACTTAGATTGCTATAATTTCAAATTAGAGTGACATTAGTTTTTATAATATGGTGCCTATCTAGAAGTGTAGTTCCAGTTTTAACACCAGTGCTCATTGCTTCAATTTTGGTAACGTGTAGGTTCTAACACGATTCCCAAGAAGAAGAAGCCAGTCATTGCTGTGAAGATGGTTTTTGAATTGAAGACTACAAGGCCTATCGTGCTCATGTTTTGTTCTAGATGGGAATCGTGCTCATATTTTTGTATAGAACTTTACTACTCTCTATTATGGATGGGAAATCACTAGTATTGTAACTGAATGGCTTATTTTGGATGGTGCATGGTTTATGACTCATTTGAGGCAACATTTATATATATATATATATATATATATATATATATATGTATTTGGGTTGATCTTCTATTGGAAATGAATGTTGGTTTTCTTTTCGTATGTTGGCTTTTTTTTTCTCCTTGGTACTCAATGAACATTTTGTGATTGTTGGCAGCTATGTTGCGTAATTAACATTAGCTTATTGCTTTTTACAAAAAATAAATGACAATAAAAAAGTTGTCACTGCCAACAAGTTTTACTAGTGACACTAGAAAGTCGTCACTTTTTATGGATGGAAAACAATGACAACAAAAGTCGTCACTGAACGGAAGCATAATGTGATAATTCCAAGGGTTGACTATGACAAGAATTTAGCCAGCTTAGTGACAATAAAAGTCGTCACACAATGTACAACAATGAGTGACGACAAGAGTCATCACAAAAGCGAAATCGTTTGTGACGACTTTCAAAAGTCGTCACATGGACCCCCTTTTGTGACATAGAACTAGTGACAGCTCTGTGACAGCAGTAAAAGTCGTCACTGACTTTTTTTGTGACGACTTCTGAATTTTTAGTGACGACTTTCGCCTGTCACAGAAACGCAATTTTCTTGTAGTGGATATTCCATCGATCCGATTCACATAATGTGGATATCCACATTAGCAGATCTAGATACGAATTACAAATGGTTGATATTATTTTTGTGGAGCGGATGAGCCTTTTGAGTCACAGATCGGATGTATGATCCAAGTTGTGATAAGTTGGATGTCAAGGACGGAGACATGGGATTGGGGTGTGGCAGCTGCTCCAGAACTTTTGAAAATCTATTTTTATGCATGGTTATTTATAATAAGTTAATAAAATCTCCCTATTGTGCTACCCTAATATAATTAATAGTATTCTTTTATGCTCCTTCCTTACTGAACTTTTACATAGCATACTAATTTCTAATATTCTAAATAAGGTAATATATCAATTGAAATACCAACCTCTAGTCTCATTGCTAAACTAAATTATGATATCCCTTAAATAGATGCAAAATATAAAAAAGAAAATACAATCAACATAAGAAAAATCAAAATATTATTGTAATTAATTGTAACGAACACCAACTCACAAAATATTATTATGACAAATACAAAAAGTCAGAGCATCACATTTTCAATTTTAACTATCAATCTCCAAACTCAGATTTTAATTTGTTAATTTTTATATTCTTTAGAAATTCCTCAATTATATTTTTGATCTCTAGTAATTCTTTGTTTAAGCAATCATTCTTAACCATTGATTATTTTTCCTAACATCTAACTTTAATGCAATATGGTATATGTGATTTTTTAATGTTATTTTACTGTAATATCCAGTCATAAGTTTCTATATACTTGTCTTGAATAGTAAAGTAAGTTTGTGGAAAAGAATTTACAAATTTGGATTCATTGTGAGGAACTACTCATGAAAGGAGATATTTTTAGATTGATAAGTAGGAATTTTGTCACATATTGATCAATTTGAGTGAGGAAAACAATAATAAATATATAGATAAGAATTCGAGACCTAGTAGCTGGCTTAATATTTTGGGTCACAACTAAGTTTCTATCTTATATATTGATTCTCTTTAGTGAATACTCTCAGATTTTTCTCCCCAACACGTTGGTATTCTGAAGTCGTGTTAAAGAATCTAGTGGACGCAAGCCTGCCTAATTATAGCAAATTCCAATATATACATATATATAAATATATAGCTTGTTTAACTAAGGTTGTGTTTGGATTGCATTTTTTAGGATTTTTTATAGAAAAATTACTGTAGCGATATGATGTACGTGAGAAAAAAAGATAATAAGAAAATATGATCACGAAAAATGACGCAATTTTTCGACAGAAAATGACTGTTCAAACAAGGCCTAAGGCTTCCGGTCTTGGCAGAGGTTAAGTTTAGGGGCCATTGGAATTTGGACCCTTTCGTGGTTCCGTACAATTGTTGATTGCCAAAGTGAAATTTCTATACGAAGTTATGAGATGTAGGTCAGGCAATTGATTTTTATGGGACCACATGCTAGCATTTTTCAAACTTGCATTAGTTAAGATGAGCGTGACTCCAAACTAGGCATGGTAATTCTAGAAACGACATGAAAATACAATTTGAACCTAATATGAATTTAGCAGGTGTAAATTTATTCTTCATGTTTGAGTTAAAATCAAGTTAGAGCCAAGTAACTTGCCAAGCAAATAGGTCCAAATCAAAGGTCAACCATAGGTTGACTCATTTGATCCATTTAATGTGTAAAATAAATAAATTGGGGGCATAAAGTTAAAAAAAAAAAAAACTAACCAAGGCTATCAATTAGTATTATGAGAATGCAATCAAGAATATTAAGTGAAAACAAAAAATTTTATTTTATTTGTGAAAGTGTCGCAATTTTATTTTTGTTCTTTTTTTTTTTTACAAAAAAGGAAAACCAAAAAGTTACTACAAGCAATATATACAAAATCTAGGATCGGGTTACAATTCTGTATATTTTTATGGAAACTCCATCATACAAATGCCCACCATGCTACTAACGTGAGAAGCCCACAAAAATTAAGCATGCAAGTAATTCAAATCGAGTTCGAGTAACCTGTAAAATTAACAAATTATATGCGGATCAAGGAAGTTGACCCATTTAATTTTTTGGGTCATGTTTGAGTTGACTTGTTGTTTAGGATAATTGAGCCTTAACTTGACCCGCCAACCCATGAGTCGACCTGATTATCATCCTTATATATTTTCTACAAAAGGAAATGAAAATCATCACCCTTATGTCCCTCTTTCCTTGACCTTCACGACCAAATTATCAAATTTCTGCTTTTTTTATAAATTAAAGATTTTAAATCCAAGATCTCTCATTTACAATTTTTTCAACCTTAACACTCAATCCAACCCCCCCCCCCGGCCTATTTCTCTTTCCCCTTCTCCCCATTCTTTACCCAACACCCTCCTCGAAGTCTTGGTGTTCACTTACCTTCGCAACTACAAACGGTTGGTGTTTGCTAACCCCGCTCCCATCCTTGTGGCCCTCCGCCTTCATCCCTCCTCTCCATCTTCGTTAATATACTTGGGTAATTTGCTTCTTTTGCTCCCCTTTTTTTTCTTTTAGTGATTTTATGGGCTGATAAAATTGGATATACTTGTGTTATCTGTATTGTTGCTCTGTTAATCGTTTTTTCCCAGTTAAATTGGCAATATAATTATTTGCAGCATCAAGTCGTGTTGAAGAGTCTATTGGACCAAAGTTTGGACGTCGGAATGAGAGGTTTGAGGCAGTTGGCATGGAAAGGCTTCAAGGGTGGATGCAAAGTGAGAGAAGGTTTTGGGCCATAACACAACATAAGGGTGAATTGTGTCTTGGGCTCGAAATTTTCAATGAGGAACCCTGGCTCGTGGTCAAAAAAGGACAATGAGTCCAGCCATTTTAACATTTTCTTACACTTACATATTTTTGTAAATGTAGAATTATTAAAAAGTAAATAATATTGAAATTTATATTTGAGTTTTGTTGTGAAAGTTGGCATATTCATTATTTTGGTTTTGTCTTTGAGATTGTTACATCCATTAATATGTGTCAATTTTTTTCCACTATTGCCTACAACAATTGCATGCTATCTTTATTGCGGAATATATTTAGCATTTTAGGGAAAATTTTTTCTTTAATAACTAAAAATGTTTCGAGTATAACAAAAGATGTTTAGTATGTTGATTAGGTGTTTTAAACT